TCTTGGTTTAATTTATTCTATATCTTTTTCTAACAGAACAAAAAGAACATAAAAATATCCCGGGAAAAAATGTTATATATATGGACATACTTTATATATAATTATATATAATTTTATATAATTATTATCTGAAACATATTTTTTCCTGGGTATCTAATTTCTATCAATGTAAAAATCTCAACTTATATTCATCTTTTTAAAATTTTTATAAGCAAAAAATATGAAGATTAAATAAGTTAAAAAAGTTAATTTACATTGGTAAAAATGGACATATAAATCAATCGGAGTTTGACCAAGGTCGCCCTAAAATCGTAGTCATCCTTGGGAACTCGATCGCTCGAAGCTCGCGAGCTCTCTCGAAGTCGTTTCGATATCTTGCGTATCGACTTATCGAATCCTCTCATCTGCCGCGTTTCACACCGTTCACAACGGCATCTTTCGCGTGCGCCGACCCTCAGTTTGCACCAGAGTGCGCATTGGTGCGAGTGTGTTTATTTTCTTCTGTATTTCTCTTAAAGAATCCTTGAGAATCCTGAATTTCCACGACGACGTGTTTTCGTTTCGCGATCGTTGGACGGGGGAGAAGACATCGAGTGTTTCTCATCGAGTGACAGGAAAGAGAGGAAAGTAGATCAAATTCACTGTTCGTTAGTTCGATTTGCGACGATCGGGCGATCGTCGCGGTGACCGTGGGAAAACTCGAAAATGTTCCCACGCTGCTGCTATGCTGCAAGTGTATGTCGCGTGTGCGTGTGAAATTCCCCTGGGAGGATACGGAGCAGAGCGCGGGGGCCGCGAAGAGCGACGGGTAAGAGGATGAGCGCCCAGGGGCAGGAGCACGGACACGCGGTGGTCGTCTGGGAGTGGGAGAATCGTCACGGACGTTGGCGGCCTTATAGTCCGGCCGTGTCGCAGCATCTCGAACGGGCTCATTATAAGAAGCTCACGCGGGTGTTCCTCAACGACGCGGATCCCAGCCTCGACAGGTCCGAACGACACGGTCGATATACGATCTCGCTTGTAGTAATTGTAGTCTGTCCGCCTTAATTGCACTTGCCTCGCTATAAAAAGTGAGGCAGGTGTATGTTTGGGTTTTGTAGAGAAAAAAGAAAAAAAGAGAGAAAGAGAAGTTGAGAATGGAATGAGCAGATGTATATGGCGAACTATATATAATAATTTTACTATTATATAATTGATTATTTATTGAAAATTTATGAATTTATTGATTTTTGGGATTATTTTTTTTTACTTCAAATTTTGCTTTTTATTTTATTACGAAAATAATAAAAATGAGATGGTTTTTAGTTTATATATATTTTTTTTATTGTATTTTAAAAAATACATTTTTAGTATATTTTACATTTATTTTTATTTTATATATAATTATTTTTTTAAATATACATGTATAAGTATTTATGTATTTCTCATATTTTGAATGAAGATTTAAAATTTTGGTTTAATATATTTTTACCAACCTCTGTCAACAATTTAAGTTATTAAAATTTTTCATAAAAAAAACAAAGATAAACATGTTAAACTTTACATTTCAATATTCAAAAATCTTAGTAATATACATTAATTTATTTAAAAATTAGATATTACATCAATTTGAAAACAAAAACACAATGCTGCGACGATGGCGACGAGACGCACAATGTGAGGAGAAAGTTTTATCTGCCAGGTTCACCAGCCGGCAAAGGTGCCAAATGGGAATGGACAGGTGACTCGGATGATTGGCATACTTATGACATGGAAGTGCAATGTCTTATAGAAGAAGCATGGGCGAGAGTAAGCAAACAAATATTTCCAGGGTAAACAATTTTTGTGCTCAAGTCTTCTAATGAAATATTTTTTCCAGGGTGACAAAACCATTGATATTTCCAAAACTTACTTGGGTTTCCCTTACATCATCAACTTTTGCAATCTGACGCAAGTGAGATGTTGTACAGGCTACGTGAGGCCGATAAGACGTATACAACAGGCGCCTTATCCATTGGTCAAAGTCGCGCTGGAAGAATTGCAAGTCACTTCTGGGAGAAGATCCGCATCAGTTACGGTCAAAAGTTCCACCGTCAAAGTTACACATAAGAAATCATCTAACGGAAGTACAAAGAAAAACAACAAGAAAGTGAGTTTTTTCTTTAGTGCGGTGTTCCTTTATTGGAGACCTCACTTGCGAATTGTCTTTTTCAGAGTAAAAGCGGGGAGACGAACGGACCAACAAACATTGCGCGCGTTATTCTCAGTAATTTCAACATATTCGGCAGCAAACATGGCATCGAAAACAATCCTGCAGCAACAAATGTGGAGTCTGGTCAGAAGAGGAAGACCTGGGACACGGTGTTGGACGTCGATTCCAGCAGCACTAAGAGCGGTCGCAGGCCGAGCGTGGACACCGTGTCCACGTATTTGAGTCACGAGAATCCAATAGACTTGCTGGACAGCAGCATGGGAAGCGACGACGCGTTCAAGGATTCTATTCTCGGTGTGTGCTTACAAAAATACATTACTTGTTTTAGCTATTCAATCATTTATAAATTACATATTTACATTTAATTTTAATTTAGTATGAGAAAATAATTTATTCATATATATTCATTTAATTAGAACATAATTAGAATATAAATTATAATTTTGATATTTGAACGCATTTGTATATTTGTGTTTTGGGATATTTTTCGGAAGACGTCACAGATTCGAACGTCCGGAATGATACTAATATGTCTAATATTAATTAATGTAGGGATGGACGCTACGTCGGATGTAATATCCCAGTATGTGAAAGTGGTGGAAAGCGATGGCTCCGATTCGTGTCCGGTATGCTTGGGCGCTCCGGAGCCATTGACGGTCGAACTGACGCGTTGCAGGCACAGACTGCACTTGGCGTGTTTGAACGCGATGCTTAGCTCTCAGCAGCCACCCATGTATATACAATGTCCAGTTTGTCGTATGATTTACGGCGAGAAAAGGGGCAATCAACCGCCGGGCATGATGAACTGGACGCGGATACCGCGAGCATTACCGGGCTTCCTGAACACCAATACCATACAAATTACTTACGAGTAAGTGAGATAAAAAAGAGAAAGAACGGAAATCTTTTCGTATAATTCTTGCGTCATAACGATATTCTTCAAAGATTTCTATCAACAATTTTAAAAGAACTAATTTTAAATAAATTTTATTTGGTGTAAGTAATTTGATACGAATCTAATTTGAGATAAATATTGGATAATAAATGAATTAATATCTCTTTCTCTGAATAAGTATATATAAATATATTCAAGGGAAAATATTTATATCAATTTTAATTTTCTCAGCATTCCGTCCGGAATTCAGAGTAACGAACATCCGAATCCGGGCCAAGCGTATTACGCCGTAGGCTTCCCCCGTGTATGCTACCTTCCGGACAACAGTCTTGGTCGCCGTGTATTGAGATTACTGCAAGTCGCGTTTGAGCGCAGACTGATCTTCACGATCGGCCGATCAGTCACTACTGGTCGCGAGGACGTCGTCACGTGGAACGAGATCCATCACAAGACCGAGCTCGGACCGTCCATGTCCGGTCACGGCTATCCCGACCATAGTTACCTCGAAAGAACGCTCGCAGAATTAGCAGCGCAAGGTGTGACTGATGGGCAATGATCGCCGATATATCAACAATTGCATTTATCGAAATTATTAACATATGAATGAAGTGTTTATACAAAAATAAGTTGACCCATATAATTCTGAGAGAAGGAATTGAGATTTGGCTGCTTGAAATATTGGCTGCATTCAGCAGAAAAAACAACTTTACAACTGTTGTAACATTCTTTAAATATGATTGATTTATTAGGTGTTGAACTTAATTCCTGCCGTTCGCTACTAGAGAGTGCTGGCTCCAACGTTGGCGAGTTTCGACGATGAAGCCTTGTAAAACTTCAAAATCTTTCTTACTATCGAACACACTTGAAGGCTGACTCATTTTTGTATAGTGTATGAACATTCGTGGTAAATTTAAGGTCCTTGTTAACACTTTGCTAATTTTTTCAAAGTTTATGAATATATTGGTTCAAAAAAAATATGAAAAGTAGTTTTTTAAATTTTATTCGGTTTTTTTAATTTTTTAGTTTATTAAATTTTTTATTTTATTTATCAATATCAGCTTATTAAAACCTCATCAGCAAAGTGTTAACATAAACTTATGTCTTAGAGATAAAAATTACGTCTTAGAGATAAAAATTAGGTGTTAGAGATAAAAATTAGCACGAAAAAATTGGAGATGTATATTTTAAAACGTTTATTTGATCTTTATTCCATGCTAAGCAAGGAACTGATAGATATATTCTAGAGTTTTAGATTTATATATATATATATATACTCTCTATACCGAAGAATAAATATTTTATTACGACTAACAAAATGGAAGAACTTGTCGAACGACAGTATTAAATTTAATTTATAGATCTTAATTTTATATACATACCACTTTATAGAAAAAAAAATAAATATATATATATATACGTCTTCTATGAAAAACTTGTCAAATACTAAAATTTCATTACTTCATACTTGTCTTTGATATAATAACCAGAAAAATGCAATTATATAATAGCGAACAATATCTTTATGGAATATTTTTTTATTTACCAAAATTATGTAAATTGGAAGCGTAACATAATCTTTAACTAAGAGTGATTGTTATTATTCCAAATTTTATTTTTAAAAAATTAATACTAAGTCACACACATAATAGAATTAAAGTCCGAATTATATTATAAAATTTTTGACAAAAATAATTCTTTTCATTCCCTAAAATCTCGCCAAATCCCTCTTCCCTCATAAAAACACCAGCGTCATATCGACTCTTCAGGATATACGTTTATTTGTACGTCACATCCTAGTTAGATGGCGCATTTTTTCAATGCAATTAAAATGGCCGAAAATAGATTTTTTCTTCTCTGTTTTTCTTCTAGAGCTGAGCTAGGATACACTTTTGAAATTTAAAGTGAATTAAGTAAGCTTGATATTCGGCTAAAGTGAGAAAAAGAAGTTCTGTCTAGAAATTATAGAAATAGAAAAAAAAGACCCGTGTCTCCCAGTCGCAATTCTCCCTTTCGCGCGCGAAGTTAGTAGGTTAGGTTGTGGCTGTCAACGAGTGGACGAGGATGCAGCGAATGTCGGCAGGTATTCGCTCTTGCTGAACGCGACCGTTTGCGACGATCAGGACGAGATTGCTTCGAATCTCGGTGCGGATCTTACTCGCTCCGTTCACGCAGATTCCGAGCGCCTAAATGAGTACCAGGAGCAAGTACAACTGCGTTCTGTGCGACTCGAAGTTGGACACCAAGGAAGCGCTGCAGCAACACTTTAGGTATACACTCGTCGCCGTCATAACCAAGTTAAGATTCACAGTCGGTTCAAATTAATTAATCGTAATTCCGCGATGTTATTAATGAAATCGGTGATATTTTCCAAAATGTGTGTCACGCAACGTGGAAAGAGATCCAAGGGAACGATCCGGACAATTCGAACTAAAACATTGAGCATTAGCATGGCATGACTTGAATTTGAATATGTTTCATGTTGTTATGATTTACCAATTTATATTTATGTATGAAACAAGTTGGAAATGTTCTACTTAAAAAATGAGAACGATTTCAACCGAACTCTGATTAACTTGATTAGTGATTAACTCGACTAACAGAATCGTTCATTCTCAATTCATTCTTTTTCGATACATTAAATATTTCTATTAATTAATTTAATAGTTTTAGCTGTATTACTTAGATAATAAAATATTGCTGATTGTTAAGTCAATTGGAGTTTGATTGAAGTCTTAAAAAATAGTAAGTGTGTTACCTTTGGAGATGGAAATTAATGAGAAATGAAGTGTAGGAGAGAGAAAGAAAGAGAGAGAGAGAAAGAATATGATTTAAATAAATCTGATCCAGAATCAATGTATTGTAGGATCAAATTTAGACTTTCTAGCTCTATATCTTTCATTTTTTTATTTTATTAGCCCATCATTATTTTGACCTTTTTTATTTTCTATATGAAAAAATATATACTTATGTATGAAATAAATATAAAATTTATTATTTATTATCTGTATTTATCCAAGTGTTTTGTTTTTTGTCATGTTTGATACAGGCGACATGCAAATAAAGAGATAGATGGTCGTGGAAGACCAATAGAAAAGAAAAGTGATGAAAACACTCTGTGTGATATATGCAATCAGTCGTTTGATTCAATACGGGCAACAATAAGGCACAGATTTAAAATGCATCCCAATTCACCAACCAAATTCCATTGTTCCTATTGTGGACAGCAATTTCCTCTAAAGGTAAGTGCTTTATGAGTGTATACTGTTTTTCTCTCCTGTTTCTGTAATAATTTTACGAAAACACATTTGTTCAGAATCACAGAGATACTCATCAAACTTTGCATGATGCAACTGAAAGCGAGAATAAAGATCAACACAGAAAATGTGAGGAGTGTGACATATTATTTTACAATAAAAAAGCATTGGAATATCATTGTAAATCTATTCATAAAAGGTAGCAGCTTATCAGTCGATCCACTTTCAAGAATGTATATTTATGGAATTATTATCTGATTGTATTATTTTTCTCAGAATGGTACACTTGTTTAAACCGATAGCCACTCCTCCGCCTAGTAACAAAATCAAATTCAACTCTATGAATGAAGCAATGAACGTTTACTATTGTCATTTATGTGGCGTCGAATATATTGTAAAGTTCAATTTGCAACAGCATTTGGAAAGGATACACACGACAGTAAGAAAGATAAATATAATACAAACATATTTTAAAAGTTACTATTTATTGTTTTAAACATATGAAAATGAATGACTTTAAAGTATAATTAAAGAATGTAATTCTGACATAATTTTATATATACTTGTGTGAAAACTCTCTACTTGTGTATAAATGTCTCTACAACGCAATTATTTTGTAGAGAGAAAGGGAGACTATGCCGCCGGAGTTGATTAAATGTACAGTGTGTGCAGCATTGTTTTACAATAAAAGGGCCTACAACATACACAACACTTATCATCATCCGGATGATTTATATGTGACCTCCGAAGAGCAGAGAACACAGATGGTGACCAGGATTGATCAAGACTTTGACGTTAGGAGAGTACAATCTATGGCCGATAGATACGTATCGCGATCTAATATAATTAAGAGACAGATTAACTATAAGATAAAGGTAAAACACATTTTATATCCTTATGATGTGACTCTGACTAAACTCCAATTAATTTAATCAGCAATATTTTATTAAATAATAGAAATAAAACTGTTAAATTAATTAACAGAATTATATTTAAGGTAAAAAAAGAATAAGAATAACGAATTGTATATTAGATTTTGTCTTAAGCGATTTTACCGGTCGAGTTAACAATTAACCGGTCGATTAAATTAATCGCAATCTAGTCGAAGTCATCTTTAGTTATTTTGCTTATGATCTCAACATAATTTGACATGATATAAATTTTACGTGATACAAATATGATTCTACAATAGTATATTGTAATAAATATTTTTATATATAATAACATAACACTATAACTAAATTTATATCTAGTAATATGTGAACACAGCAAAATATAATTTAACGTAATGTAAATTTAGAATGAAGTGGAGAAGACAGATATTACGAGAGAAATAAAGAGAGAGAGGTTAGATAAAGAGATAAAGACAGAGATAAAGAGAGAGAGGTCTGTGTCATTAGACGACCCTGCGTGTATCAACGAATCCAGCGATTCCGAGAGCGACATCCCATTGAAACAAAGGATCGCCAGCTAACGGAGGTTATTTTTTTTATTATAAAATATTTCTATTCCTGATCTAAGGGAATTTTGTTGTAGGAGAGATTTATGAACTGCTGCTATACACAATCGTGATAGTCATCTGCTTTTTTGCAGTTGTTATATGTATATTATATAAGTTAAAGAAATTGTAGAAGAGGGCAATGTATATTCATTTTTTGTTTCTACATGGATTATATTTAAGAGGTATAATTGTAACTGAATGTGTGAATAATGACGAATGTTGAAATACAGGAAGTCCTATAATAATAATAAGAAAAAGAAGAAGAAAAGAGTAATTACTGTAATTTGTAAATTATTTTTTGAATAATTTTTTATGTGTATATATATTAAATATATCACGTTTAAAAGATATATATGTATATATATGAATAATATATGTATTACACATTGTATGTAATGTTTTACATATATAGGGTATTAGTTAAGTATGTTGCCATACTCGACAGAGCGATTTTTTTATTTATTTCAAGTAAAAAAGTCCATATAAACATGTGTCCTAAATGGCTTAGTTTCCAAAATAAAAAAATTTAAACGCATAGTAATAATCTGTTTATTTGAAAGAAATACAGCTTAAACTAGTCAAAAACAGAAAAACAAAAACAGGCTTCAGTTCTAATGAAATAAAACAAGTAGATGAATTGTTGAAAACGTATGTACAAGCTAGGCTGCGGTCCACTTGACGCTACAAACGTTTCGAAGCGTTTGAGCGACCAATCAGAACAAAAAATTTTACGAATTGACTAATCAAAGAATGCTTCGAAGCATTTGTAGCGTCAAGTGGACTGCAGCTCTAACTGACCCACAGCAACATCAGAATTGAAGTCTATTTTTGATTTTGTGACTTTGACTTTGACTTTGTCACTTTGTTTACGGTTGTGCGAATGGTAACTCACGTGGAGCAAGGCATATTTATGCAGGAAAATATCTCCAACGCAATTTACCGTTTCGTCAAACGTATGCGAACATTCACCTGTATTTCGGAAACTAAACTGTTTAGGACACATGTTTTTATGGACTTGAAATAAACCAAAGAATCGCTCTGTTGAGTATGGCAACATACTTAACTAACACCCTGTATATTTATGTATACAGGGTGAATCAGAATGAACCAGTTTTTTATCCTATAAGAAAAATTATCGCACTCTAATTATCACCGTATCAAAATTATTATGCATCTATATATATTTTTATATTATAATTATTTTATAATTAGAGTCGAGAATTTGTCTCATGGGGTAAAAAAACTGGTTCATTCTGATTCACACTCTGTATATATTATATATAAAATTATATATATATTATATGTATAATACACGCTATAATATATATACATATATCTTCTAAACATGATGGAATTTATTTTTTTATTTTTTTATTATGGTGTGCATGCAACAAAGAATACATTTTATATTATTCGCTGTTTCATTTGCCCTCTTTGTATTTCGCAAATTTTATATACAAAAAATATACACAATTATATATAAAATTTTATATACGAAAATATATGACATATACGTTATGTATATTCATAATTGAGAATAGCATCACTTTTAATTTTCCCGTGATCCACTTGTAATTTGTAAATATTGCGCCATCCCTAGGAAATCTTATCCGTCAGAGAATTCCCTAGTCCTTTAGAATCTTGAGGCGCGCCACGTTGACCACTTCCGGCGTCGTGTCGGCCCGCGG